TACACTTTCAAGGTATGTAAAGCTCTCTGTGACTTCAATGTCCTCGCCGCAAGCACGTACCGACTGAACAGGTTCTAATATGTCCCCAAAGTCCTGGATCTTGGTCTTGGTCTAGGAGACCTCTAGACCCAAGGGCTTTGCTTCATTACTAAATGCATCGAGAGCCACCACTAAGGATTCCAAAGACTTACGACGACGCTCTAGAATGACTCGAAGCGCTAGGATACGGTCTATTGTGGACTTACCAGGAGTGAATCCAGATTGCTCCAGTCTCTGATGCCTCAGTAGGTGGTCTCTGATACGTCTCAGAAGGATGTGGGCAAGAACCTTGCCTGGTATACTGAGCAGTGTGATGCCTCGGTGGTTGCTGCAGTCCCATCGGTCCCCCTTCCCCTTCCAGAGAGGGATGACCACACCCCTCAACAGGTAAGGGGGAACGGTAACAGACCGCCAGATGGCAGCCAGGACAGCATGCAACCCCCGCGCCATGGGTTCACCACCAACCTTTAACAGTTCAGCTGGGATGCCGCATATACCAGCTACTTTACCACTCTTCAGCTTGGAGATCGCCCTCCTAACTTCGGTTAGGGAGGGGGCATCCTCACTGATGGGTGGGTCCGGCAACGGAATCTCGTCACTACCCGCATCCAAGTTAACTGTTGGTGGGTCAACCTGATACAACGGCTCGAAATACTCAGCCCAACGTTCCCGCACCGCAACAGGATCTGAGACGATCTGACCACTTACTGAGCGAACTGCGCGCGAAAATGTGTTGAATAAGAATACACGGACATGATTTAGCCAGTTAGACCGAAATATATTCCCTGTTTGTTTGTTTGTCTCTTATATTTTACATTTCCGAGAGAATAACATAAAAGCCTTTACCAATATACCCACCGTATCCACGCATAAGTAGTATATATGGCAGATATTTAATCTGTTCAGAGAGATTGACGTAACCATACCTCCTCGAGAACACGTCACCTACAAGAAGACTATATATGAGAATAGTTTATTGGGTATTCTGTCCCCGAAAATATCTGCCATAAACCACAAAGAAAACCATGAGATGTTTCCCAAGCACGCAAACCATGCACGCGTATTACAAGAAATTATTATACAATGGGATTTTTAAACTAGCTTACGTATCCAAGAAAAATAACAATATAACTTATCAGATCTATGAGTATGAGATCATTACCATAGTTTCTCTTCCAAAGAAATGCCGAAGACTGTGATATAGATATAGATGTGCTCTAAGGTCCTACTCTAACAATTGACCTATCAGTTTATCCTATGGTTTCCATTATTTCTTTATATGTACGATAAAATAGCAATCTCAAAACAAAAAGCGATGAGAGTATAGGTATCAGTAATCATAAATGAACCCGTCTTAATTGTGCTCCGATCTCATATATCAATTAAATATCATGAGCGTTAAAGTCCATGACAATGACTCTTATTTTTCTAACTATATTCCTACACTCATATAAGGTAACATATTTGATGATATTGTAGTGGCGACCCCTTATCTCATGGTACATCCGTAATACCTGCCCTAAAATGTATATCTTCGACGTTCCTTTGAGTCCCCCCTGCACAGTGGCCCGTTTTCTGCCATGGGCAACTGCGCAGGCTGTGCCGATGGAGTGCATACCGTAGTACAGCCTGCTTTCAAAGTACAAGAACACAGCAAGTAACAAGTGGTGAGCGCGATAAGCGGATTGTTTTCTTCGACTGGAGCGATTAGTTATCTACCTTAGCGTTAGGTCTTTACTGTTGTGTTTCTTTCATCCCCGATTTAGGTGCGGTATAATCTTGATTAACAACTCTGTAAGACTGGTATGCAGAGAGCGTCTGGTTCTGAGCGAGTTATATTGAGGACAGGTTCGGTCTACCAGGTGAAACTATGAAAAGAATCAAAAACAACCTATGAATCTGTAAAAATACAGTGAATACGTGGGCTGCTCAGTGCGTGGGTCACATGTCTTACGCTTGCAGCGAATTTTGGAAGAGTACATCTGCCTGCGGGAAAGTGAGGAATTTTTTTCTTTCATTTTTGAATGCCAAAAACTAATGCAAGTGTCTTAGAGATCATAGTATACCTATTTTTGTGACTTGTAGACAGCGTGTACGAGTTTAATGTATCGCTGAGAGAGAATTAATCTGATTCGCTCTAGTATATTTACAAAAGTGCAAAAATATAATATTCAATAAATACTGGGCTCAAGAGTCATATGATGGTAACTCATGGGTTAACCCACTCACGAATCGTTTGCACTCGTCACCGTCTCGCCATTCAGTGATATCTAATTTTCGTACACTGTACTTGCGTTCCATAGGTACCTTGGATGTCTACAACTCATACCGATAGATATTCTGAGCGCTTAAATCTCTCGTGTTCTATGGAGAGTTAAGTAACATAATAGACTGGTAAAGTTAGAAACCTTTGTCCCATATTCAAAATCTAAAAAAAAATAAACAAAAAAAACAAAAAGATTTACTTCACAGTAACATAGTTGATAAGAGCATCAAATTCTATGAGAATAAATGCCTAGCAATTACCCCTAGCAAATGGGGCCTTAGTGAAAACAGTAATTGTTAGAGAGCGACGCACCCTCCCAGAGACTAATTTCGGCAGGAAATCAAATGATTTTTATCAATTTTTGTGTTTCTTCAGCAAATGCTCAAGATACCATTTCTCCATCGACGATCTTGATTTGATGGTCCTGTTAACAGAGGAGGGCATGAAGTATATCAGGGTAATTATGGGGTAAAACAGGCTCAAATAAGAAGAATAAAGATTAAAAAAATGCGTTAAGCTAGCACAAAAAATGCTTAAAATCGGCGAATGAAACTCTACAAATGTAACCGCCATCTTTGAAATTCTACGGACTGACGCACCAGAAATCAAAAACTGCGGGAACCCAACAAACTTTATGGCAAACTCACAGAATTCACACGTTACAAACCCCCCCGGACCATCGGAATTCTTTGGCACAAGGTAACACCAAAACCTACATTCAATATATATCAAATATAAATTGCTGTGACTCCGTACGTCCCCTTGACCACGGGTACAAAGCGGTGACTATATGGATGCGATAAGATGACCAGGGCAATAGGAGGTCATAATCACTAGCAATAAAAGACCTCATCAGGCGCTACCTGAGGATGTGAAAACAGCCGTTCGGAGACACAGATAAATTAAGCCAAAGATTATGGCAATGTGTTGACAAGCAGTAGTAATTGTAACAGAACTAGTTGACAGACAATACATTCGCGGTTCATTTCTGCGGGCCTTCGGTGGCATAAAATTCAGTAGATATAGAGGAGGGATTTATTTCTTCGGCAATGGCTGGAAAGTTTACTGTTGATTGGCAACACTTAGCAATTAGAAAAAGGTCACGCCTTACACATTATACATATTTACATTACATTTATTTTTAGTGCGGACTATTAAGCTGTTCATTGCTGGGCTGCTCTTTTTATGTTCAGTGAGACAATGGTCACATAGGAGGAGATCGTGGCTCTACTCTTATTTTGGATTCGACCACTAGTCATTGAACAGATGTGGTGGTCCTTATTTCAGATATCACCTCTATTGCGCGTCGGCTCTCTTTTCCACAGCTCTTACATGAAAAAAAAAACCCTTGTATTTGTTCGACACAGGGCACACGCGCTCCGGGCCCTTTGCATTACAACGAGTACTGAACTCTTTCTCACAGATATCATTTCTTGTGGAAGGTCTGCGAACAGACACATAGGTGTTAGCTGTATAGATACCGCTCTTCACACGCAGACAGATAAAGGGTCAGTACGCGCTTTTTGTTGATATAGTCTGCACCACCAGAGTGGGGTGGGTCACAGGAAGAAAGCGAAAATGGAAAGCGCGCACTCGGCGTCAAGACAGGGCACCCACTGACGTAGTGGACATGTCTGATGCGCGCACGGTGGGCTTGGGCAGGCCCTGGTGATGACCTTGCTTTGGCATTATTACTGCAGAACTATCTCTTACATACAGTTAATATGTTTAGCCTTTCCTGTAGATTACTGTGCACGGAGAGTTGTGCACATTTCAAAATACTGTCTACATCTGGGTTTACCATGTCCCAATTGACATATCTCATTTTCTCATAGTCACTCTTATAGGTTCGCTTGATTACTAACATGTCGGACAGGCCGTGGGGCTTCTGTTGGCTGGTTACGGGGGTCTCTCTTGGCAGTCCGATGACAACTTTAAGGTTGTTTGGCAGAGATATATTAAAATGACACAGAAGCCAACAAGATATATACCTAATTGTAGCTCTACATCGTATCGTCGAATTGATTTTATTCATGATTTATTTACAGGGAAACGTCCTCAGAATCGCCAACTACACCCGATTTTATCAGTACTGCTTATAGATTTTGACACCGACCGCGAGGATTATAGAAGGCGCAGAGCTAAGGAGATCAAGCATTCAGAACAGCACAAATTCCTGTTGCTTCTTGTGCTTTCCTAATGTCATACGCCCATCTCATGTACACGCAGACAGATGAAACAACTGGAGGAGCCGGTTTATCCTCAATTACTTGAGGAGAGAGATACAAATAGATGATTGGCCTGTGACTTCGCTCGTACCATATTATGACTCACTTAGTTCTCGTTTTTGATTTTTCACCAAGTGAACAGGAATCCGACATTGTGACTCAACAGCCACCATCAGTCTATAATGAATTTTATTTGATGAAACGCACCCGTGTTTTAAGGGAGAAGGTACAGTTCATTTAGCTTCTACTATAGCTGAACTCATTCTCTGCTCTATTCTTGGTTCTCGTATCTCCATTGCTAGATATGCATGTCAACATGAAGGGATTTGGCTAGAACTTAAGTATAGAATAAATATTCAGATAACGCTGTGCAAAAATGGCGGAATGAAGTATATCACAAAGAAGATATTTTATCATATCTAAGAACAAATACACATCTCGATAAGTTCCTTCTTCAAAATTAATTAATGTATCACTACACTGCCTCCAATAGTGATATCGCCACTCAACGTCCCCCACTGAATGACCAATGGTCTCGTACTAGCAAAACAGTGTGTTCATCGATGTCTACTAGCAGAGTATGGACCGGATCGCAAATACATTTCCCACTCAGTAACACGATGCTCCGGCCCCCCGACACATACCCGAGACAGAGAAGAGGAATCTGCTACCCCCCATTTTCCTGCATCACCACAGGGGGTTTGTGATACTCTCCTCAAGCTTTTCGGCACAGCTCTCAGAACGGCAAAAATAGCCCATATTATTAAACTTAACCCTTTTATGACAGAGCGACGTACAGAGATAGAGGAAAATGATCACCTAGTTGAGCCGTCTGTAGTAGGTATAGAAACACAGGATCATGTTGCACTACACAGGTACACGCAGTAGTTTTTACTTCTTGTTCTTGTCCAAAAATACTAAGATTAATTGTGCATCTGCACACGTCACCAGGGTGCTGTAATCGTCCATGTTTTTCTACGGAGTTGGCAGTTCTCGGACGAAGAGGTGCGGTGAAATAAGCGGGGTTACATAAACGCTAAAGGGTGACTATAGCCCGATCCCGTGTTCATCGTTTGTCTTATGGAGACTACATTTCTACGCACAGAAGATCAAGTAGAGCAGAAGGATTAATGTCAAGCACACGCACCAACAGCGACCAAGGTCAGAAGACTTATTTCTGTCCAGACGGGTTCCCCGCACACGGAGACAAATTCATCTTAATTGTAAACTCAGGGCATTCCTTTCGGGCAGTGATCACATAACGCACACATTTGTGCGGTTGCTGTGGTCTGGTTTGTGGTGGTTGTGTAGTTGAAAGGGTTTGGTGTGTGCGTGCGCGTATGTGTGGAGTGTGTGTAGTTAGTGTGGTGGTGTATTTTGTGGTCTGTGGTGTGTGCATAAATCTCCTTCCTTTCCTCCCTCCCTCCCTTCCTCCTTTCCCTCTCCCACATCCTCCTCCTTCTCTATCCTTGCTGCATTAACCAAATCGCCTTTTTCTCCTCCTCAGGCCGGTGTTTACTCCGATGTCACGGACAGCAATACACCCACACTATCTACCTCACAGCTTCTCTTTACAACACATCTCTCTCACCGACTCTTTCATCCACACTACACACTCTCACATCTACCTACACATCATCCAGTATCTACACACCCCACACCACTCACCCATATATCCTATTCACTTCTTCCTTCTCTTCTTTGCCTTCACCCCACTATACTCATCACATATACTCTCACATACATACTAAACATACTCACCTACATTCAGCACACTTCGCTCATTCACATATCATTTCCACATACACCTCTTTATCCACTCACACACCCACTACACCACACTCCACACACACATCATCAATCACACTTTCTCCTTCCCTCGACTTCACACTCTCACTCACACCCTTCTTTCCGCTCCCTTCCATTCCTTCTCCACATAACACACACCACCACTACACCACACAATCTCACACTATCCTCACTCACACACACCACCCCCACACACCCACACACAACACACACACACAACACACACAACACACACACACACACACACATACGAGCATACACATACACACCACACACACACACACGCACACAACACACACAACACACACACACACACACACACATCGCTCTCTTCACACTATACCACACTATCACCTTACACTCATCAACACCACATCACCTCACCACCTACCGCACTTGACACTACACTCAACACATGCAATACTCTTACAATAACTAACTAACACTCACATAATACATACTCACACAGCCCATTTACCACTACATCCACACACACTAGCATACATACAGCACATCAGTATAACCATCACGCACAAGTCACATACATAATAGCTTCCTTTCACAGACACAAGTGAACGTAGTACAGACAACTAAAATCATTCGATACACCCTCATACAGAACCACACATACACCTAGGTACCGTTTCCATCCCATACAAACACAATAATACACACTATACACACATGATACACATATATCACACAATAACACACACATAACATACACACACATACTATAGACGGTGGGTAACACGCACACTCACCAAGTGACAGCCTGTAACGATATACACCATAAACGGACGGATATACACACGGCGACTTCTTCTATACACGTGACTTTACGGTCAAAGAACTCGTTCGATCATCACCTCCTTTGCGGCATGGCCACTATATCAAACAACACGGTGCGACTTTATATATTCCACACGCTACACATTAAAGTCACGCATTGACAAATATACCCGACGCATACAGACATATAAATACACAGACGAACATAACTACATAGTTAGGTATTCGCACTTCAGACCATATACCAACGCATACACTATACACACCGCAGATACAAATATAGCCATCCACGCCAGTGTAACATATACATACCGCCTACACACTAGTACTTGTACCTACCGGAATAAATAGGTAGATTTATCAGGGGCATTGAGCATTCATCATTACACCGCATAGCACATATACACACACATACACACACAACACACACATCACACACCACCTACAGGCACATAATTTACTACACATTTCTTATACTTCTTTACCTTTCACTCCACATCAAAATATTCTGACATTACTCTATCACGGTGACGAATGAACACTCCATCATCTATCACCAACACTTACTATTTATTCATTCATTCTACACATTACTACAAACACACACACACAACGATCACACAACACACACACACACACAGAACAACTTCACTCGCTCACTTCACATAGGATAAGAATAGACTATATGCTATATATATAAATTATAGATCGTTTAATTACTCACAGACTCTGAAAGATATTATTTTTTTTTGTTTTATTTATTTTAAGTATCCATTTTATTTTATTATTATTATTCTTATTATTATTTATTATTATTGTTATATATATACTCAATATATATAATTATTAGATATCATAATTTATTAACATTTATATCTTTTTTTTTTTTTTTTTTTATAATATTCTTTATATTCTTAAGAACAGCACTAACAACACATTCTAATATATTGGCTCATCAGTACGTTATGATTATTTATTTTCACTAATTATATTAGGTGTTATCTCCCAAATCAATTAGGCGTTAAATTTTAATTTTTATAAAATGAATCGTTAAAATTAGTTTAATTAATTGGTGACTCACGCCACGACACAACACCAGACACACCCAATAAACGTGCAGGTTCAACACACACATACACACACATCACACACTACCCAAAAATTCGATTGTGGGCACTCGAGACCGACACACAACAATCCTGTGATTTACCTCGCTTAAATTCTAGCACATCACGTACCACACCACACACACACCATGCACATAATCGACAGTAATATTAAATATCTATATTAAATTGTTTAGTCGCTTGCTCATTCTATTTTCTCGGTATGCCACTAGGCTGGCAAGAGGTCTTGTTAAATAACCTACGACTGATGTGGTTCTAGAGTCCAACAAAGCAAGTAGACCCTCAATCAGCAGATCCAATTTCATGAATAAAACAAGATAAGATCAAATCTAACATTTAAGATGTGTGGGTATGTGCATCTAAAGGTGCTCTCAGAGTATTTATAATGCTCTGAGAACACCTTCAGAGGTGCATGCCTGTCACGATACTAGGTTTTTGTACATTCTTTTCAGTGTTGACAATAGTGAATACATGCGAATGGGAGACTATGTGCCAACACGTCTCCAAGCCCAACAGGATGCAGTTAACACCATTTGCCGTTTTAAACTTAGGTCTAATCCTGAGAACAATGTAGGCCTCCTCACCTTAGCCAAGTAAGTTATATGTATGGTAATGTATTTAGAATTAATTTAAAGTTCCTTTTTAGTTTGATATTTATGCTTACTGCCTTCAGTGGAAGGACTAGGAAAGCACTTCAGTTCTGTAGATTACCACCCTCATGGGGATGATTGATAATCATGGGTAGATTCTACCACTGTAGAATAATGATTCAGAAAAATGGTCACATTGAATGACACTATGATCTGATACATTTAGTTATAAAGTATTAAAGAATGATTGGATTATTGTTGTTTGTGTGTGTGTGTGTGTGTGTGTGTGTGTGTGTGTGTGTGTGTGTGTCTAGTGTAGTGTGTAGTGTAGAGTAATAAACTTTGTTATAGTTTAAAATCATTATAGATGCTGAAATGAATTTTCTATCATGAGTATAATTTCTTCTAGTACTGAGGTCCTGCAACACTGACTACAGATGTTGGGAAAATCCTGACTTCACTGCATAAAGTAATGCCAAATGGATTCATCAATCTCCTGACTGGTATACGAATTGCTCATGTGAGTGTAAGGGAACAGCTCCTGGAAGTCTAGGACAGAAACCTTTCTTCATCCTTTTTATTCTTTAACTTTTGCTAGAATGCTGAATTATTATATTTCATATCACAAGAAAAAGTACATCCAGCTAAAGGTATTATGATGATTATTGTTTTTTTATCAACAGTTAGCGCTGAAACATCGTCAAAGTAAAAACCACAAAATGCGCATTGTTGCCTTTGTGGGAAGTCCAATTGAGGCTGACGAAAAAGAAATCATCAAGGTAGCTAAACGCCTCAAGAAGGAGAAAGTTAACATTGACATTGTTAACTTTGGGGAGACAGTGAGTACACAATAGAAATGATTAGATGATTTTTGTGTGTGCATATGTGCTTTCATATTCATAAATGACTTGATTTGTAAGTAAGCCTTCCTAGAGATTCAACTGAGAGAACAAAATTAAAAGAAGTGATCCACAAAAATTTTCTTGAAGAAACCTAATATCACTGACATAATTTTTCACACATCAATGATAGACACTGTCTCATAATGAAAAATATTAAATTTCTTGGTCCAGGATATCAACCAGTCTCTGTTGGAGGCCATGGTAAGCACCATCAATGGCCGAGAAGGTGGTGGATCACACTTGGTCACTGTGCCTCCATCACCTCATCTAGCAGATGCTCTCTTGTCCTCTCCTATTGTCCAGGTCAGTAGAATGGGTATGATAGGAGTATGGAAGTTTTCTCTTTCAGAGTTTTTCATTTGTTTTCTGTATTTCTAAAAAAATTGCCGGTTACTTCCCTATAGAGAATTAACCCATTGACATAAGCCTGTGTATAGTCTTGGTGGGACTTAATTTATGCTGCTGACAACTGTGCCAAGTATCTCCATCAATTGCTTTTATCATACATGGTTGATCAGACAATTTTTAACTGTAATTTTGTATCTTTCTGTAGGTCCTTCCATTGTATTATGTCTTTCTGTGCTCTTTCTGCTGGTTATATTAGCCATTTCAGCAACTATGGTTTGTCATAATTGCTCATTTATATGTTTATACATTTTACATAAATTTTGGCTTCACCAAAGATGAACCACTTCCAGCAGCAGCTACAGATCCACTTAATTTGGAGAGGTAGGGAGGAACAGACGGAGATTGCGAGAGGAGGAAGAGCAAGCAAGCAATATGTGTGTGTGAGAGAGAGAGAGAGAGAGAGACAGAAAGAAAACATACATTTATATACCCATTTTTTACGTTTACAGGGCTCCAAATTCAATTACCTCATTGAATTTGGAGTCAGCACTCTCCCATTATCATATGGTACAAACATCTCATTGTCACTGTCCATGCCAGAGGACAGATCAAATAAACAATAATGTGGCAAAGACTACTGGGTAACAAGCAGTAGTGGTTGTGTGATGGGTAGCAGTTTGGCAGCAGCCTAATTTTATGGTTGTAGGTTGTCCAGAGTTTCTTAGACAAAGGCCAGAAGACTAACAGCAGAATGCTTCTAAGAGAATTTAGAGAAGCCAAGATTAGGAAGCAGAGGGTTGAAGATTGTTTGAGGTGTTGTACACCTCCTTATATATATTCTTTTTACCACCATTCCAAGGAAGGGTTAACAAGGAATCTAAATATGATGAATGATGTAATCTACAGTTAAGGGTTCACTGCATTGAACAGCAAATTTTGCTTAATTTATTTTTAGAATAATTTTGGTGATATTAAATGTCAATATCACTTTCATCCAAAAGCTACCGCATTAATAAAATGTTGTTATCACTAAAGCTAAAAGGATTATTTCTCTGACCCCCACTCAGAAAATGCAATAATGTAAACTCATGATAGACCAAGCATTTGCATGCATAGAAGTATGCATACATTCTGGAATCAGTGGACAAAGAAAGTGTAATATGATTTTTAATTGTATTTAATATTTTTATACAAATTGTGTTCGTAATTAGCTATCTGAGAGCTGTCATTCTGGTAGCCTGGTTTGATCATTAATCAATCCTGACAACATGGTAGACTCTTGGTTTGGACTAGATGACGTCCCATATTTTGATGAGTAAACTTTTTAGTAAATATGGGCAAGGGCAGGCATTCATAAGGGTGGTCTTTTCCACAAATGAGTGATTGTCCTGCTCACAAAAGCACAGACCTCTCATATTGGTGATTGGACTTGCTCATGTGATTATTTGCCATTACATATTACATCACCTGTCACCAATAAGTTAAGCCAGAATATTGGATTGGAGGCACTGTTGGTCACAGAATATTTCAATTCTTTATATTTCAATACATATATTGTTTTCTCTCTCAGAGTTAGAGGACCAGCAACTTCCTTTCAATTGTTTTGCAAATCTAAGGTCTCTCAACTGTTCCTGCATACTTCAAAGATGAAAGCCTCCTTAGAATGCTTAAATATTTTCTGAATTCTCTTCAATTCATGAATTATTTTTAAACTTGAAATATTAAAAACTGCACTTTTTATGCTATATATATATATATATATATATATATATATATATATATATATATATATATATATATATATATATATATATACTTTCTTTCCAGGGTGAGGATGGAGGATCGGCTGCAAGCTTTGCAACAGGCGGAGGCTTTGAGTTTGGTGTTGATCCTAATGAGGATCCAGAACTGGCACTGGTAAGCTTCTTGATTATCCTAAGACACTCGATTGGGTATGATTAAAGGGAGGAATTAAATATTCTTGCAAAGTGGGACAGTAGTGATATGAATTGGTTTTTGATTATTTTTATAATTGCACCCTTTTTCTAGGCTTTACGTGTGTCTATGGAGGAACAGCGGCAGAGACAGCAGGAAGAGGAACGTCGTGCTGCTCAGGAATCAGCAGCAAAGGCTCCATCTGCTGAAGCTACACCTCAGCCACCTGCCACAACACCAACACCCCAACCTGCTGCAACAGAAGGTATTTTAAAGACTTACACAAATGTTTTTAGTTTGACAAGAAAGTAGCATATGCATACATTTGGCATAATTTTCTCAGTGAATAAACTTCATGATGCATGTCTCACTATTTTGCTTTATGCTTTTATCCTCTTTTTCCATAAGGCGGTCAATCTGAAGAGGAGATGTTACAACAAGCTCTAGCAATGTCACTGGAAGTCGGAGGTGCTGGTGGCTCAACACAGGCTAAAGGATCCACTGCTGCCAAACCAGTTGCAGCTCCAAAAGCTGCCCCTGCTGCTGCTGTTCCAGACTTCTCTGCAATGACAGAAGAGGAGCAGATTGCATATGCAATGCAGATTTCTATGCAGGACTGTGGTAAGGATTGTATATTGTTTCAATTACCACTTTTATTGCAGGTTTTGGGAATGAGATTACATATCTGTATTTACAGATACGTGTTAAAATTATTTCAGTTAACTTGCCCACACTTTATCCAACTCTATACAAAAAATGGTGATAAAAAAGATTGAAAAATTATAATTATAAAAAAAGGGTGTGAAGTACTTTTCAAACATGTGCATTGAGATTTAGGATGAATTAATATGTATAACAAATGAGTGATAATTGTTTACTGTGCTTGGTAAGTCACTCGTTATGAAATAAATTTACCAGAATATAAGACCACCTAAATTAAGTAGTTCTTTAAGCATGTCTTCTCTCACAGTTATTGGATCAGTGACTTCCTTTCAATTCTTTTTCAATCCTTGGGCATGTATAGGTTATGCATTATTTGCATTAAGTTTAAGCTGTCAAAGGGATAGTTTTGTATATAATCTTTCATTTCATCGTGGCTGCTTCCTTCACTCATCCTATTTGAGAAGATACTATTTGAAGTTAATTAATGAGAACATTTACTTTACAGCAGAGCCTAAGGAGGAACCCATGGATGTAGATACACCAAGTGAAGACAGAGGTGCAAAGGGAGTAAAGGAAAGCTCAGAGGTGCGTATTTTGCTGTTTGTTACCTCTGCCAAGGAGGTTATGTTTTTAGTAGCATTGGTGAGTTTGTTGGTATGTTGGTTGGCAGGATAACTCAAAAAGTTATGAACAGATTTTAATTAATTTTTTACCAGAGGTGTGTCTTAGCCTTACTTAGATTCCACCAAATTTTGGTGGTGATTACCCCTATACCTTGGTAATAGGGTTAACTATTATAGTGATCATTACATTACATCATTACTTTCACTAAGGAGGTTATGTTTACAGACATCACCTCTTGAGAAAGAGTTGATTTTAATGTAGTTCTTCAAATGTGAACATTTCTATTGCATCAGTGACCCTATTGCCTTGGCGGAGGTGTGTGCTTCTAGTTTTTTGGCCCCCCCCCCTTATTTCTTCCATCTTTCCTTCCTTCTTATCAAGTTGTTCAGTAGATCTGATATCATTCTTGACATTATTTATTCATATCTCTTTTTTCGTATTTAACAGGTGAAGAAAGAAGAGGAGGAACAGGATTTCTCCCAGGTCATGGCAGATCCGGCCTTTCTAGAGAGTGTCCTTCAAAACTTGCCTGGTGTTGACCCCCAGAGCCAGGTTGTCAAAGAGGCTGTAGGGTCACTCACTCAACAGGACAAGGATAAAGAAAAGGATAAGGATAAGAAGAAAGATGAGAAGAAATAAGATATTTTTATATGTGTGAGGAGAAAACTATCTTAATAGCATTATAGTTCTCGGCTCAAATTAAGAAAGGTTTCCATTTTTTTATGAATAGTTTCTCTTTTGTATAAACAGGGGGACATTTGTTTATACAAGTGAAAAATTCACTTGCATGAATTTATATGTAAAGTCTTTGTTTTATTGTTTTATTTTATTTTTTTTTTTTTATTTTATTTTTTTATTTTATTTTATTTTATTTTTATTTTTTATTATTTTTATTTATTTTATTTTTTATTTTTATTTATTTATTTTTTTTTGAATAAGGTAGTAGTTGTTTAGATATCAATTAATCAGAAGCTGAGAAAGTTTCCCCAACAGTTAGCATAAGTTCAGACATATATTTTGTGTCAAAAGTGATCTTGAAAAATTTCTCTTGGCAACATGGCTGGGTGTCTGTTCTACAGCAGCCTTACAACACTGCTCTGAACAGGCTATCATAAATATACTGCATTGGCAGTTTGGTCCATGCTTGAATGGCCAATTTAAAGTCCATGAATAAAGCTTGAATAAAAATTAAAATAATTTTTTTGCTTTTTCTTTTCATGTGTTCATATAGTAGGTAGTATGGCAACTTTTTTTTTTTTTTTTTTTTTTACAGGATATTTGGTTTGAATGAGCAAGACAATTTGACATCAGTACAGTAGCCTTTTTGTGATAGTTCAGTTAGATGAATGTGTCAGATGATCACTGCACCTGATTACATTATCCAATATTTATTTAAAGAATAAAGATATGGAAGTTAAGGTCTGTCTCACTGATATTTTCACCAAAGATGACTCCTGTTACATTTGTTTGTAATTGTGTAAGATGAAATTAGCAATATGCTTTTCCTTTACTGTATGAAATCATATTCAGATGTATAATTTACAAGCAAAGGTTAAGTTTGCCTGTATTATGTATTTTATGTGTAGAAATGTGTGGCCGAGATAACCAGAATCATTCAATAGGAATATTTGTACAATATCACAATGCTCATTGAACTTTAATATTTTAGTGTGGATATACATAACTAATGATTAAAAATATATGAAAGAAAACTGCATTATTTGCTTACATGCACAGGGAAACTTGAATGTGTAAAGTACCAAAATTTTATTAAATACAAGCAGCTTCAGATGAACAACTATTAATAAACATTCCCATTATAACTAAATTATACAATGAAACATTATGCATTGAGAAGATATACAGCAGCTATTTACAAAGCAAGTGAGTTGTATAGTCTTATTTAGTCGTCTAGCACATTTATTTTCTTGTCATTGTTACTTACTTAGTCTTCCAGTATGTATCTGTTTACATTGACTAACCCATCCAAAATTGTATTTCCCCACACAATCAGCCACTCATTGAAAAATCAGAAACACAAGAAACCTAAACTTGTCCTCATCTTTGTGTCTTTGGGTGTAGCATACATTTTCTTAGGAAACTGTAACATATGCTCATACAGTATATTCCTAGGAATATAATAAATGCCTCATTGTGTTACTAATTTTAACATAGGAGCTAGTTATGTTTTTGATACCAATGAAGAATTTCAACTTTCTACCTTATTTTGAAAATATGTATTGACTAACATACACACACTCACATTTATTTATTTATTGAAAAAATTCTGCTACATGAATATCTGTCATTAGCAGCATAAACAAAATATAGCAATAGGGCAAAGCCCCCAGGTAAGGAAAGGTCATACAGCATTGGCAAAGTATTGCATCAAAAAAATAAAAAAATGAATTAACAACTGCAACAAAATATGTTAGGTAAAGGCTGCAGAGAGCACTGTAGATTAGCATGGTAGTAAAAATGGTAAAGAGGGAATAGCAAAGTACAAAGGCAGTTTAGGATTAACACAAAGCCAGCCTTTCATCCTTTCACCACAGCTCTCACTTTAGGATGTGGACAGAAGGGGATGAAAGGTGGAGAAGAAAAGGCCATACAAAATTAGTTGAGGGCCTGTCCTGTCAAAAGTAATGAACATGGGGCTGGGGGTACACACAGACAGACAGAGGCAGGCAGGCAGGCACAAAACAAACACACAACACACACACACACACACACACACACACACACACACACACACACACACACACACACACACACACACACACACACACACACACACACACACACACACACACACACATACACACACACACACACACACACAACACACACACACACACACACACCACACACACACACACACACACACACACACACACACACACACACACACACACACACACACACACAACACACAGACAGACACAACAGACACACACATACATACATACATACATATACATACATACATACATACACATACATACATACATACATACATACATACATACATACATACATATACATATACATATGTTTTTTTCCCCATTCCTCTTTTTCATATTTTTCTATCCATATGTTCTTCCCAATTCTGCATCAAAATAATTTTTCTGTCAATCAAAATTAAAGCAGTTTCACTTTTTTCTTCAAGAAAGAAATTAATTTACTTTTTTCTAAACATCATTATCCATCTTCAATTGTCCAGAAGAATGTTGATAAAAGGTACATTCATATAAATAGAGGGCCTTTATCATTACAATAAAATCAAATCCAAAAATGTGATCTCATAAATTACTTTTTCATATGCTTTCATTCCTTGATTGCTCTTATACTTAGAAATAAAAATCTTGTAAAATTTTCTCAAGTGAAAATTTTACTTGGCATTTAAAACAGTAATTGCACTTCAACTATTACTTTGCAGATATTAAATAACTTTATTACAAAATCTTAGAATCAGGCTATAAATAATAATACTTCACTTCTCTTATTTATTATTAATTTTCCAGTAAATTATCAATATACATTAACTGACATACTATCAGAACTGAAAGTTCAGGTTTCATACTGTAACAAAAGATATGCTAGTCCCTTTACATATACAGTTACTTAAGCAATACACTAAAACAATTCAACAGTGTTTCATATACATATCTAATTTATGTAGTGGTATTTTGGAAACCTATACAATTAAACCATGACACCAATATAATACATGCTTATTCTTGAGGGTCTTCCTTCAGTTTTTGGGACAAAATTTTACCACCTGGAGTTGTCAGTGTCACAATCTTTTCAAGATGTTGAGATAAAATGTCCTTTACAGACTTAATTACTTTACTTATTTCTGTTTCAATCATGCACACTAACATGAAACATCCTCTATTGGAATCCAGCCAGGTACTTAGTTGTTCTCCAACAGTCGTTAACAATACCTCACTAAATGTTGGTTTCTCCTTTGCATATCTGTGCTTATCAAATTTTATGATCTTTGTAAGCATTTTTGTTGTGTGAGCCACTTCCAGTACATGGTCTTTCATTCCTTCCTCATAAGGTGTATTGCACAACTCAGCCAACTGACCAAATATAGTGTTCACATAACTTCCTGGAAGTGTTTCTAATGCTGCAGCAATGAAGAGTGTCCAGTTAGCATTCAAGGCCCAGC